AATTGTGAAACGAACACATTCAGTGGGAATCATTTTAACTTGAATGTTGACTTGATTTCTCTTGTCTTGATTCCACACATTGAAGTGTCCATAAGGTACAAGATCAAAGAGTGTATAACATCCGTCCATCAGGAATATAGGTGCACCATTACCAAAAGAAAGGCATTTCTTGGGCACAAACGTGCGTTTAAAATTATTTATGGTAACAGGGATAAGTCCTTTGCATCTCTACCTAGGTACATGGCTGCATTGCAACACTTTAATCCCGGGACTGTTGTTGAATGGAAGCTTGAGCGGAGTCCGAAAATACCAGAACATATATTCAAATATGTGTTCTGGGCATTTAAACCAGCAATTGATGATTTTCTGCATTGCCGGCGAGTAATATCCATAGACGACACTCATGTCTATGGAAAGTATGATATTAAGCTGTTGATCGTCGTTGCAGTAGATGCTAATGGAAGTATATTTCACTTAGCTTTTGCTATTGGTGCCAATGAAAGCCAAGAGACGTGGACACTATTTTTGAACCACTTGAAAGAGCACGTTATCAAACAGCGTTCAGGTATTTGTCTAATATCTGATCGACATGGTGGCATTTTAAGCTCTGTACAGAATTTGCGTGTATGGAAGGAACCGTATGCCTACCACCGTTACTGTGTAAGGCACCTGAAGGCCAATTTCCAGAAGACATAATTCAACAAGTATTTGCATGATTTAATGTGGATGGCTGCAACAGATCACCAAGAGTGTAAATTCAGGAGGCGCATGGAATCTATCAGGCAGAAAGATGAGAGAGCCTATCGTTGGTTGATGCGACATGAGCTTGACAAGTGGACTTTGCATACGGATGATGGCAGAAGATGGGAAATTCTGACTACAAATGTGTCAGAGTCTTTCAATGGGTTATTGAAGTCTGCACGAGAATTGCCTGTCACTGCCATGGTGCGGATGCCATTCAAGAAGATGGCAGAGAGGTTTGTTGAAAGGGCTAGAGGTGCATCGTCATTGATGGAAATGGGTGCTTAATTTATGCCAATACCAATGAAAAGATTTGAGAAATACAGGAAGCGAGCACATTGGCATTCATTTTTGCAGTATTGCAATGAGCGAAATATTTTTGAAGTTCACACTGCTATCCATCACAACCGGGGGAATAATACACACACCGTAAATGAAGCCAGAAGGTTATACTCTTGTGGGAAATGATCTATCTACCACATGCCGTGCTCACATGCCATCAAGTGCTTTCAACATACAGGTTTAGGGGCAACCAACTACGTTGATAAAGAATATAGTGTTGCTGCATACTTAAACACCTATAGTGAGCAGTTGTAGCCAGTGGTTGCTGAGCATTATTGGCCGCCGGAACCATTTAAAATGGTGTGTAATAAGGACTATGTACGTCAATGACAGGTGCAAAAAAGAACGCGTATACGGAACCAAATGGATGTTGGTGATACCGTTTATGCGCGCAAATGTGGCATATGCTCGCAAACAGGACACGACCGTCGTAAATATCCTTCAGTTGGTTTGGGTGGCAGTGGTAATCCATCTCCTGGTGGAATTTCATCTAATGTTCCCAACTATCAAGGATACGCGTAGTGTTTTATTTCCGTAATGTGGTTGTAATAAGCGTATGTACTTGTTTATCTTGCAGAATGTATGAAATAAAATTATATTTCCATTGCTGTTAAATCTTATTAATATCTAACATTTATACTTCAGTACAATAATCTAACATAAACCCATTTTTAAAAAAATAATTGTCTTATCGACCAGAAAAAGCTGCTCGCCTGCAAAAGCTATCTTCTGAAAAAGTTGTATTGTACCCGAAAGAATCTTTAACACACGAAGCATAGCGCAGTGAATTACTACGTTATGTGTATTGTCTTCACGACCTGAAAAGTTGCTCACCTGCAAAAGCTATCTTCTGGAAAAGTTATTTTGTACCCGAAAGAATCTTTAACACGCGAAGCATAGCGCGGTGAATTACTATGTTATGTGAGTTGTCTTGCCTATAAATAACTAGCGCATTTTAGTTATTATATGCGTTTAACAAAAAAAAAAATAGCAAAACTTTTCATAAATTTTTTATTTTTCTTGCATTAACTAATGTCTGGACGCAATAACCAACCAATGTGCTATTGTGGCAAACGTGCGATTTTGAAGGCATGTTGGTCCGATTGTAATGTTGGGCGCAGATACTGGATGTGTCAACATTGTTTGAGCACAATGACAGAAATCATTGTATGTTTGAGGAATGGTATGATGAACCCATTAACCAGGAATATTACAAATCATGCTTGCAGTATGTTTGGAATATGAATGGTGAATACCAACGCCAGATATCTAAAATGCAATGAGAAATTGCGGCAGTGCAGGAGAAACTAAAAGAGGCGGAAGAAGAAAAAAATAAAATAGAAGAGAAATTTAAGTGGTTGGAGTAGAGAATAATAGGCGGTAGTGACTAAACAAATACATGTATGTGTTGAGTGTAGTATTTTATCTTTATGTTTTTCATGTCATATATTTTCATTAGTTGTACTGAATTTAAATTATGTTAAGTTGCTATGTTTGTGTTTGTGTTGTAGTATTAAAATAACTAAGAACCAGAGAAATAAAAACATAATGCGCATATAATGTAAACAATAAAAATTATTGTTATTATTTACTGAATGTCATATGTACATAAAATACAAAAAATATCAATGTGTCCCACATCCTGTATGCTTTAATGCAGCTGTTGGCCTGAGGCGCATCTCATCCTGCCCGGCTACGCTATCAAGATCATCCTCATCACGTCGCCTCTTTATCGGAGGATGCGCTACAGCATGATCGTCAGTAGGGCTGGCAGGCTCGATAGAAGGGGTCGTCGGTCCAGCAGTAACCTACAGAATAATAAGATATTTTAGTATATGAAATATATATTAGTAATGTACGTGTTACGTTATAAAAATTTAAATTGTCTTACCATGGTCTCGTCGGACTCCTGAATATAATCATCCGTCGCAGGCAACATGTCTGTTTCTTGATTTATCACTCAACATGTCTGTTATTTTAAATGTTAGTTTATTATTTATATGTTAGTTTAATATTGTATATGTTAATTTTATTAATTTATATGTTTGTTTTATTATGTTATATGTTAGTTTTATTAATTTATATGTTTGTTTTATTATGTTATATGTTAGTTTTATTAATTTATATGTTTGTTTTATTATGTTATATGTTAGTTTTATTATTATATATTTTTGTTTATGACTCACTTATTTTTTACTATAATAAAATTAAATAATTATTTTTTATAATTATACAAGATTTAATTATTAAATATTCACATATGGGTTCCGGGCTTGATATTTGAGGCCCAGTAGATATCCTGAATTCTTGTGTTCATGATGAGAAAATTTCTCAATTTATCACTCAACATGTCTATTATTTTAAATGTTAGTTTATTATTTATATGTTAGTTTAATATTGTATATGTTAATTTTATTAGTTTAGATGTTAGTTTTATTATTATATATTTTTGTTTATGACTCACTTATTTTTTACTATAATAAAATTAAATAATTATTTTTTATAATTATACAAGATTTAATTATTAAATATTCACATATGGGTTCCGGGCTTGATATTTGAGGCCCAGTAGATATCCTGAATTCTTGTGTTCATGATGAGAAAATTTCTCAATTTATCACTCAACATGTCTATTATTTTAAATGTTAGTTTATTATTTATATGTTAGTTTAATATTGTATATGTTAGTTTTATTAATTTATATGTTTGTTTTATTATTTTATATGTTAGTTTTATTATTATATATTTTTGTTTATGACTCACTTATTTTTGACTATAATAAAACTAAATAATTAAGTTTTATAATTATATAAGATTTAATTATTAAATATTCACATATGGGTTTCGGGCTCGATATTTGAGGCTTAGTAGCACCAAGGTATCCTGGAAATATTATTGGTTTCTCATACTTAATCCAGGAAATATTGTTGTTTTCTCATGTTATTTTTTACGATTGTTGACTAGAATTGGACAGAGTTTGTGTTTGAACTATCAGCTTTTTTGACGTATTTTTGGATATAATAGATACTTAAATGATTAATTTCAATAACTATAAGGATACTACGCTAAAGGGCACTACATTTTACTACGCTAAAAGGGCACTACATTACAAATACAAACACTACATTTGGCCACAAGATACCACTAGAGGGAACTAAAGTAACAATTTATCTATTTTACTAGTCTTTAAACAAATAAATAATCTAAACCGGATAAAAAAATAACAAATAAATTTAATCACAAAACATTCACGAAAATACATATACCACAGTAAAATGTAACTAATTAACATTTTTTTAACAACTAATAATAATTTTTCTATTTTTACTAATTTTTTTAGCACACTAATATCATAGTCCGGATAAAAATAGCAAATTAGTTAAATCGCAAAACAATCACAAAACAACATAGAACACATTAAAAACAACTAATATGCATTTTTTATACGAGTTTTAACAAAAGCTAAGCCGGAATACGTCGATTTAAGATTTTTGGAAAGTTTAAGATTTGGTGATTTGGAGCCGAAACGAGTAATCCACAATGAGATAACGCCTTAGCTAGAATGTGGGACCGAGAATCTTTACTTTTTATGGGACGGGTGGGCTCCACTCAAGCTTTTTTGATCGTTAATAGGGGAACGCCTGTTTTTTTAAGTTTTAATAGGGGGAGTTCTGGTTTGGTGGGGAAGGGAAGGGGACGATTTATTATGTAGGTATAACGCCGTTTATTAAGGCGCTATACTATAACGCCTTAATAAACGGCGCTATACTTGTCCGTCTTTTCAAATTCAAGTATAACGCCCTTTTAAAGGGCGCTATACCTTAACGGGCAAACGGTCGTGTTTGGTATAACGTCCTTTTATACATATTTTAGTCACTATATTTTTTTTTCACACATTTCGGTCGTTTGAGTCCAAAACAACCACTTGGTTCCGGATTCCGATTTTGCAGGTACGTTCAATTTTCTAGGGCTATGAAAGAGGGATAAGCATTTATTCTTATTTTTTAAAATGGTAAAGGAAAGGAAAAGCAGAAACTATAAGTTGGTTTTCTAGAGAAAGGGGAAAGGGTTTGGCTATATTCTTATATATACAGTACATAGCTATGATCTGAGATTGAAAGTTGTAGATTTATTTTTGGTTTTTTCACAAGTTTCCTAGGTTATTCAATCTGTGGAAGAAGTCTTGACAACCACGTATTTTTGGTCTTTTTGCTCTTTTTCCAAAAGATTCTTTACATCCTAAAAACTTGGGGCTTGGGGTTTCTCTTTTGCGTTCTCTGATCTTAGATCTTGTGAGAGAGAAAGAAGGTAATTCTCATTCGCAGCATGTGATTCAATCCCTATCGGGTATACGGAAAAAAGTTGCATCTTTTCCTATCCACATTGGACATCAAGTGTCTTTAGCACTTATAGGGTTGGTAACAAATGAATATTCGTAGTCAATTCTAAGTCTTAGGCAAATTTTGAGGATTCTGGCATTGACCTGCTAGTAGAAGTTGTGAATGTGGAAACTTTATCTCTTACATCGTTTATACTAAATTCAAGTGCGATGAGTAAAGGACTTTACAGGTCATATCTGTAGTTCTTTGTTCTTTTGGGGAAAATATAATATTGAACTTTGTTGGTAGTAATTGAAGTAGAAGAAGATGATGAAATCATGATGCTCTCCGTCAAAATCAAACAGTGAGTTTGGAGATTAGGGACCAATGTGGCTAACAATAAGGACTATTAATGCTCCAAGTTAAAGAAGAAAGATGATTTTAAGTTTAAGCCCAAAGATTAGGGACTATTTTAGGGCCTTTCTCCGAATTTATACCCATTCTTGCTTTGAGCTCATCTTTTCATAATCATTTCAGTCGTTCCTCTTATTGACGCCGCAGTGGTGTTTATGTCAAAGCCTGTAGCTTATAGCCTGAGAAAAGGTGCGGACAGGCATCCCAAATTCCAACAATTCATTGTCAAAAAGGGTCAGGTAAATAATTATGCTTTACCTGGAAGTGCTTAAGTAATGTTGAGTAACTCTACGAAGTTTTTAAATAATGCTTTACCTGGAAGTTTTTAAATAAGTGTTTATATCAAAATCTCATTTTTTGGGACTCAGAGATTCCATTTTGGTGATGCCCCTGTTGTTGATGAGGAGAAAGCTATACAGAACGCTGCCAAAGCTCTTGTTGTTTTTACGGTATTCTTTCACATTAATTAGCTCTTACTGTGTATTTGATCAGAGTGAAGTTGCTTTATTTATTACTAATAATTTTCCTTGTTTAGATGGCAGGTACTGCAGTTGTCTATCAATGGAACAGAATGCAGCAGCGGAGATATCGAAGAGTCTTGAACTTATTAAAGCAAGAACGCTCGGAGGTAGAGCAACAATGCTTGGCGAAAATGCAGCGAGAAATCTTGGAGGAAAAGCGAAAAAACAACGATAAAACGTGGAGGGTAAAGGTAGAATTCTGCTGCTCTCAGTATCTAGCCCGCCCTTTTGTAATTTTCCTTCAACAATCTATCCATAGTGCAAATCCCTAATATTCTACTTAGTCCTTCCAACAGTGATAAAAACATTTAGGTCGCCTCTTTATTGTAGGTGATGTTTCCTGCTTGAAACCTGTTATTTTGATTCTTACATCTTATACTTGTGGCAGGCAATGAATCAGTTTCTGCTGGAGACAGCAGAAAAGGCGCAGTTAGAGGCAGTTAACGGAACAAAACCACAGGTTGTGGCAGTTAACGCAAGTCTTGAAGAAGTAAATCCATGATTGAGGAACAAAATTCAATTTCTTTTTTCGTGTTCATGTGCTGTAATTAAGCCTTAGAGGCACAAAGCATTGAGCAAATTGTTTGTCAATTAGCTGCTATAACTAGTTGCTCTTCTCTTTTATGTATGAAAGTAAGCCTTGAGGTGGCTCAGTACTCAATTTTAGTTGCTGTGGTTGTAAATGCACATCCTTCTAATGTTATTCATTGGACACAATATAATGAGGAGCTGCCATATCTTTCACATCTATTTAGTTTTACTGTTTTAATCTAATCTTTGTGAGAATTATGGTCAAAACACTCAAAAAAGTTACCTTAAGGTCAATTGGAAGATCAAAATACCCTTCCCAGGAGCTAATAGCTTTCAAGAAATTCCAAAACCAAGAACACAGATGCTATGGTATATCTCTGCAAATCTAGAGAAATTGATGGAAGTAGGGCCAAATTATTCTGCTAAAACTTTAAAATGAAAGGAATAGAGTGCTTAATATTTCCAAGTACTGTTGAAGATGTTACAGGGGAATATTCTTGTACAAACCCAATGGAGCTGCCATATCTTTCCCATCGATTTAGTTACTGTTTTAACTAATCTTTGTGAGAATGATGGTCAAAACACTCAAAAGTTACCTTAAGGTCAACTGGAAGATCAGAATAAGTTAGAGCGTGCCGCAATGACCGCCCTCCAAACCAACTGGTCATCCCCGAAGGGACTTGTTCCCCAAATTTCAACTTTATCTACTGTGTGTTTTTTGTTATTCTCCTGCAAATTACTCCAACGAAAGGCCTATATGATAGGAAAATGGAAACTTTGGAGCGTGGACAACAATAATATGTGCGTATAATATTGTATAAACCGAAAATTGAGAATGATCTAATTCTGATACCATGTTAACGAGGAGTCTCTTACTCAAATAGTCACTCAGTTGTCCGAATTGCATATTAAAGGCATATTTTTTTTTTGTAACAGAAAAGTCACTTAACTATGTCTATAGTTACTGGTAGATCAATCAATGTATTAGCAAGTTTTTCTTTAAGTGCGGACCACATGTCTATTTCATTTTCATACTTTCTGGATTCTCTCTGGATATCATCATCCATATTACTCAACAATGTTATACGTGTTTGACCCAAAAACTGGTTTTGAGATTAAATAATTGAATTTGTATTTTTAAGGGCCATTAGCAATTTGTTTGGTATGATACACTTGTAGATAATGAATAACGATAAATGAGAAACAGTAAAATAGAGTAAGAAAAAAGAATAATGCGCCGGATAAAACTTTTCTTATTCCCAGTTTCGAGCGTTCTCAGTTCACAAGTATGGCCGAATTACAGAGCTTGATCAAAGGAAAAAAGCTAGCACAAGATGATATTCCTGTTATAGGGATTTTTTTTTTTTTTTTTTTATGATTCCCTCCTTCCGAGTGTAGGAGCCACTTTTATAGTGATGAGAAGAAGATTGTTCTTTCGAATTTTACGCCAGCACGCAGTGGGTTAGGTAGTGCGGAGCGGGATCCTCGATATTAGCTTCCATTTCGTAGATATCCACGATCTAAGTATAAGGTTGACTGAGTCTCCAAACTTATTCCACTACATCTTCAAATACTTGACCCTTCGACCATAACCTCTAAATTCGACAACGGGTCCCGTCACTTGATCTTTAGGTCTTAATCGCCATGTAGAACTTTTCGATCAGGTCACATGAAAAGGGTAATTTTTACCCATACATTCAATTTCCCCACTTGTAGGACGATGCAATGACTAATGCTCGATTTTCTTGGTAGGAGTCGATTTTGTTGAGGATTCTTCCTTTGCAAGAAAGATTTTCATCGAAATCCAATCTTTAGGATTCATGCGACTTATGTACAATCTGCTATTAATACGTAAGGACAGGTGGTTGTTTCTCGTTGGACTCTTCACATGTTACGGTTTCTAGACAATGATGACTACTTATGATAGGGAACCTTTCCGATATTGGCAGTTATAGAAGTATAATTTTTTTGTAACACCCCGTAAAATTTCGCAAAGGAATTTAAGTTTTCGTGGTGCTGAACTAGGTTTATGTGTTTGAGAATTGTAGAAGCGGCTCAGACTTTTTGAGGTTGAACAATGCACTGGGGAGTAAAAGAAAATTTTTGTCAGAAAAAGTCATTTCTGCGGCCCACTATGCGGACGCAGAATCACTTTGCGGACCGCATAATGGTCGCAGAGTGAATCAGAGGCGGACCAACTTGGAGGAAGGTCTGCGGTGCATTATGCGACCGCAGACCAGTTATGCGGTGCATTATGCGAGTGCAGACCAGTTATGCGGTGCATTATGCGATCGCATAACAGGTCTGCGGGGCGCATAATTACCGTAGACCCAACCAGGCAACAACAGTTTTTGACACCAAATTGTGGGGCGGATATGCGGACCGCATATCCATTCTGCGGTCGCATATGCGATCGCAGACCTGTATCTGGGCAGCTTTTTTATTTTATTTTTGTAACTCGATCCTATTTTGATAAATAGCCTTTGGGGGTCATTTTGAAGGGTTTCATCTCATATTTTAGAGAGAGGTGAGAGCATCTTAGAGAGAGAAGGTGAAGACCTAGTCATTTTTCCATCAATTCTTGTTCAAGTTTGAAGATTTCACAAGGATCTTGCTAGGGCTTCAAAGATGTAAGAATTTCTTTCCCCAATTCTTTAATTTCAAGTTTGGAGTAAAAGATGGGAGATTAAGAGTATGATTCTTGGTGTAAGAGTATTAATTATACATGCTTGTACCAATAAGGTTTGTGAAAAGATTGTTGAGCTCAAATAAGTAAAGATTGGATTGTGAAATGAAGGAAACCTTGTAGGAGAATCTTGTAGCCAAATTTACACACCTAGTGTTTGATAAAATGCTCAAATGAGATAAAACTATGAATATCTTCCTAATTTGTGTTCGATCTTGCTATATATCTAAATAGATCGAAGTGGCTAGGATTTTCGGAACTTTGTAACAAATTGAAAGGCTTGAAGAAAAGATATGTTGGCTAAACTACTCTCTTAGAATTGAATTCCATGATGTCCCCGTAAGTTTCAAGTATGGTTGTCTCAAGTTCCTTATTCTATGTTCTGAGTTGTTCCCAATAAATTCGATTGTCCCGAATAAGCAAAGTGTCAAGAATTATGTATTCAATACATGTTCCGAATGTTCCTATCACATTATGTTATCCTTCGAAAATGTGTTCAAGAATGATATGTGTATTAAAATGTTATGACTTTGAGTAGTGTTTTAAATGAAAGCTAGTATGCCAAATTGTGTGAGAAAAACTCAATATGCTTAAGACTCTTAATTGCTCATATGTGTACCTAAAGTCTTGATTGGAAAAGTCTTATTGTTGATAATCTATAAAGATGGTTGGAAGTGAAATAAGTGAATTGGGGATATAGAGTGTGGCCAACGTGCCAAGAGTGAAAGTTATACTTATGGCCAATGGTGCCAATGAAATGAAATGATGTGAGAAAGATTATGAAATGAGCTTTGATTCAACTGTTCCAAAATTGACTTCGAAAATAGAATTGCTTAAAAGCTTATGAACTCAAGTAATGCCCATATGTGACTGTTTTAACTAATGTTATGCTTTATAGGTAGTTTCGATGTGTTTTGCATTCTTACATATTTGTGAGTTGAAATTGTGTATTGCCCTTTTTGGGGAAAAGTATTTCAAGAATAAATGATGTGTTACTTGTTTATGATTTTAACTTGTGCTTCGATTGCCAATCATTTTACTCCATTTCTTGGAAAGAAATCCATTGGTTTAAAGCATTTATTACTAATGAACCTAAAGTTGTGATTTTCGAAATAGTCTATTTGTTGATATTTATGATGATGATCCATGAAAGGGAAGAAATGAAAGTGTGAAATATGAAATACGATCATTGTACCATGAATGAAGAATCATATGTATGGCCAAGAGAGCCAATAGAATAATGATGTTGAAAGTTGTTGAAAGTGCCAATGAGACTATATACAGTATAAAAAGTTACGAGGTAAATGCATCTGTGTTGTTGTTTCCTTTGTAAGCAAATCAAAAAAATATTTTTGGGAGTATCGATAGCCACCGATGAAGGGTAGGTTGAAATAACCTAACCCCGAAACTACACGTACCGGTGTAGGAGTGGATTGTAATTATTTTCCTTAATTAGGATGCGATGATTGATAGAAAAAGATGATCTCGATCCACACGACATTGTGGTGAGATGGCCTAGCCGATCGGGTCGTGATCGGACACCATGCCACACACATAATGGTGATTGTGCTGGAAATTATAATTGAAATTTTGATTGTGGTTGATGTCTCGGATGAGACGGCCTAGCCGATCGGGTCGTGATCGAACTCTGTGCTAAAAATATGGTAGTATTAGTTTTGTGAATATTGGTATTGTGAACAGTGGTATTGCGAAAAATGATATATCGGTGCTAAAGATCTCCAAACCAAAAATAATATTATCATCATATTTTTATTATCACTTCACGGTATTTCATCATATTTTGGAAATTATTATATTTTAACTTGGCATTTGAATATTATTGATTACTGATTGTTGTTTTCATGGTTTTTCCTTTCTTACATTGGTATTCTATTTTGAAAGAGGACAGTTAGCTTTACATACTAGTACTATTCCATATGTACTAACGTCCCTTTTGCCGGGGGCGCTGCATCTTCAATGGATGCAGGTTGTTCATCAGCGGGCAACTTTGATCCTCATTAGTAGTCACTCTTTATTCAGCAGGTTTTGGTGAGCCCTACTCTATTTAGGGCTTTATGTCATCTTACGTTGTATTTTGTACTATGAGGTATAGCCGGGGCTTTGTCGCCGGTACTTCCATTCTTCACTTCTATTGTACTTAGAGGCTCCGTAGACAGGTTGTGGGTGGTATTCGATGTTGGGAACTGAACTACAAATGTTGATATTTGAAAAACATGTTTTTCGTTATATCTATAAACTTGTAATAATTTAAAAATTATAAATAAAGCTGCTAATGGAAATGAAATGGGAGTTGCTAATGAAATCTTTTCAATGTTGGACTAATGGAGTACATCTCCTCTTTATTCATGGATGAGTTTGGGTAGAAGGAAATCTAACAGTCTTTCTCGGCCGGGTTCACTCGGTTGAGGTTGAGCACCGGTCGCGCTCCCCGAGTTTGGGCGTGACATTTTTTGCCTCTATATATTGAGCTGTGAGTCTTTCTATTAACTCGAAATCTTTTCGATGATCCTCTTCTCTGGTTTTCTTGCTTCCCTTACTTTCTAATCAGCTCTTCCTTCTTTTATCTCACTGCTTGTAATTCACATGGATCCCCAATGCTTCGGCTTCTCTTCAATGGACGACCAATTTTCGACACCTTTGGTTAGTGATGCTCTTTCACGTCCACCAAGAAATGTTCCCTCTTATGAATTTATCCTTCTGCGGGGGCTTCATTTGTTGGTCCTTCTCATAAAAAATCTTCCAAATCTCACAAAAGCAAAAAGGGGAAGCAGGCTTCTGAGCCTACGATCGGTTTTTTACTTTTTGCAAGAAATGCTATTGAGTTTTTCTTGTTGCCAAAAATTAAATCTATATCTATATTTATACTATATTAAAAGTACGAAAACCCTTAGCGAAATGTCGTTCGCCTTTTTTACTCTTTAAAAATAGAGTTCATACTAAACAGAAAAGTCATTTAATTATTCTCCTAATATTTAGAATTTTAAAAAATACTATAACTTTATTATTATTAAATCTTTTTATATTTGAAGTTTATAAAAAGTCCTAATTTTTAGGACTTTAAATTCAAGTAAAATTTGCTTTTCCTAAATTATTTACCTTTTAAATTAATGAGCTTTAATTTACATGTAACTCTAAATTTTGAGAATATTGCTTCCTTGTTAGTATTTGTTTATTTTTTATTTTGTAACAGTAAGAACGGTTGTTTTCTATAATTTTGGATATCACAACTATTTTATTTATTTATTTATTATTTTATCATGAACTAATACTTAGGAGTTAGGATTAGGTAAATTATGATTCTGCCACTTTAATTAAAAACTTTTTGTCCTTCGATTCAAAAGATACTACATTTTTTTCTCAGTGTATTTCACTGACTATTAGTTTTTCTTTCCAATAATTTATTTCACAAAATATGGGGAAAGGGTTTGGCTATATTCAAAAGTCTAGGGTTATGATTATTCTTTTAAAATGATAAAGGAAAGGAAAAGCAGAAACTATAAGTTGGTTTTCTAGAGAAAGGGGAAAGGGTTTGGCTATATTCTTATATATACAGTACATAGCTATGATCTGAGATTGAAAGTTGTAGATTTATTTTTGGTTTTTTCACAAGTTTCCTAGGTTATTCAATCTCTGGAAGAAGTCTTGACAACCATCAAAATGTTTAGAAAAGGTACGTATTTTTGGTGCTCTAATTTGATCTCATGAGGTTATTATTTATTCTTAAAGCTTATAACTTTTATTTTATTTGAGGCAAGATGTTTTGTGATGCTCATGTGATTGTAATGTCTAGTCGCTGATGCGGTTCTTGGATTTAAAATCTATGGTTTCTGAATTCTAGCCCTTTGGAGTTCTAATTACATGATTTTTAAGGTTATGCAAAAGGGTAAATCCTTTTTTATCTAATTATAATGTGATAATCCTAGGGTTTAATGGCCGGGCGTGGTAGTGATAGTGCTTTATTCTAGTCTAGGATGGCTTTGATCATGGTTTACATCCCGATAATTGAACTACTATTTTTTTCCCTTGTTCACAGTTTAAAAAAAAAAAAAAACGAATGTAATGTTCAAAGCTTTGCGCTCATTTTTAATTTTCATCATCATGTCAGTCTTAATTTGTATTGATGATGCGGTGGAGATTATATCAAAGCCTTTAGTTTTTTGCCTGCGAAAAGGTGCAGACATGAATCCAAAATTCGAAGAAATTATTGTCAAAACGGGTCAGGTAAGTTAATTAATTATGCTGAATACAATCTCTTCAAAGTGTTTAAATAATTTCCAATTTGACAAGGCTATTATTACTAATCCTTTGACATCTCCTTTTTTTTCTGGAATTCAGAGATTCCACTTCGCTAATACCCCTCTTCCTAATGAGAAAGCTATACAGTATGCTGCCGAAGCTTTTGTTTGTTTTACGGTATTCTGTCACATAAATTTTCTGTCATGCTCTATTTGATCAGGGCGAAGTTGCTAGTTATTTATTAGTGCTAATTTTTCCCATGTTTAGATGGTAGGTACTGCGATTGTCTATCAAGGGAGTAGAAGTCGGGAGCGACGAGATAAAGAACTTTTGGAATATTTAAATCAAGAACGCTGGAGGAAAGAGCAAGAAGTCTTCAAAGAAACGAAGCAAAAACTCGTGGAAGAAAATAAAAAACTCGACTAAGAACTGACGATGCTAGTGGTAGAATTCTGCTGCCCTGTGTATCCATAGTCCAAATCCTCAATTTTCGACATAGTCCTATTAACAGTGATAAAAACATTTAGGTCATCTGTTAATATTTTACTATTATTGTCGGTGATGTTTAATGCGTCTTGTTTGAATCTTGTAATTGCGGCAGGCAAAGTATCGAAGGAGTTCAGTCGGAGGCAGTTGACGGAGAAAAATAACAATGGGTCAAGGCCATTAACGCGAGGCTTGAAGAAGTAAACCGATGACTGAAGAAACTTTTTAAAAGGAAACTAAGAGAGGAGATGAATGGTTCTGATAGCTAGTATGTATTAACAGTTACAATTTCCTTTTTCATGTTCATGTACTTCTAATTTTAAGCCTTTTGTCACTTAGCTGCTATATTTAGTTGCTGTGTTATTTATGTACTCGAATTAAGCCCTTTGAGAGCCTAAATTATTTCAGTCCTCAATAGTAGATGCTGTGATACAACAACAACAAACCCAGCTTAATTTCATACGTGGGGTCTGGCGAGGATAGTATGTACGCAGTCTTATCCCTACCCTATAAAGGGAGAGCCTATTTTCGATAGATTTTCGGTTTAAGGAACGATAAAAATAAAGCAACAAGCAATAACAACAGTAATACAATAAGGTAATGGAAGCGATCGTAACATAATAAGGATTAAAGAACTATGAATAAAAGAATACAAGAATAGTACTAATACAACTGGTAAACCTAGGAGAAACTCACAACTACCTGTCAACCCACCACCTTAATCCTTGACCTCCACACCTATCTATTGCTAGTCATGTCCTTGGTTAGGTGAAGCAATGATATGTCCTGCCTATTCACCTCTCCCCAATACCTCTTAGGCCTACCCCTGCCCTTCCTCAAGCCCGCCATGGTCAACCTCTCACACTTCCTGACCGGGGCATCTATGTCTCTCCTCTTCACATGCCCAAACCATCGCAACCTCGATTCCCGCAACTTGTCTTCCATAGATGCCACTCCCACCTTGTCCCTAATAACTTCATTCCTAATCTTGTTATTCCTGGTATGTCCACACATCCATCTCAACATCCTCATTTCAACTACTTTTATCTTCTAGACATGAGACTTCTTGACGAGCCAATACTCAGCTCCATACAACATAACCGGTCTAATCACCACCCTGTAGAATTTTCCCTTACGTCTAGGCGGCATATTTTTATCGCATAAATCCCAGAAGCTAGCCTTCGTCTTCTCCACCCCACTCCAATGCAGTGCGTAACATCCTCGTCAATCTCCTTGTTGCCTTGGATTATAGACCTAATATACTTGAAACTATCTCTTTTGGGAATGACTTGAGTATCATTCTTCACTTCCACTTCTTCTTCATGCCTCTCATCACTGAACTTGCACTCCAAATATTTAATTTTCGACCTACTCAACATGAAACCTTTAGACTCCAGCATTTGTCTCCAAACTTCCAACCTAGCGTTAATGCCCCCTCGCATCTCGTCAATCAGTACTATGTCATCAACAAATAACATAAACCATGGCACCCTCACTTGTATGTAACATGTCAGCACATCCAACACTAGGGCAAACAAAAATAGGCTACGGGCCGATCCTTGATGCAACCCCATCTCCACAGGGAAATATTTCGAGTCTCCTCTCTCAGTTCTCACCGGAGTCTTAGCACCTTTGTACATGTTCTTAATCACCCTAATGTACGCTACCAGGACTCCACTAACCTCCAAACATCTCCATAGCACATCCCTCGGGACTTTGTCATAAGCCTTCTCAAAGTCAATAAACACCATGTACAAGTCCTTTTTTCTCTTCTTATAATGCTCCACCAATTGTCTCACAAGGTGAATGACTTCTGTAGTTGACCGTCCCGGTATAAATCCGAACTGGTTCTAGAGATAGATACACCTGTCCTCACTCTCCTCTCCACCACCCTCTCCCAAACTTTCATAATGTGACTCAACAACTTGATACACCGATAGTTATTGTAGTTCTGGATATCACCTTTATTTTTGTACAACGGAATTATCAAACTCCACTGCCAATATTCGGGAATCTTCTTCGTCCTAAAAATGGCGTTAAAAAGCTAATAAGCTACTCCAAGCCTACCCTACCCGCTTATTTTTAAAATTCTATCGGAATCTCGTAATGCAAATTCCTTTCCGTTTGCGATCTTACGTTTTATGAGCTTATATTCTTTGGGAGGTACTAGGTAATCGGTGGAATAAAAGAACACCACCGTAGTAAGAGGACAAATGTTCATTCTTAACTAGCAACAGTAGTGGAAGGCGTGGGCTATCTTTCTTGCAAAAAAAGGTAAAAATTGCAGTGGCACCCTATTTAGTCACCCCCATTTAACTTGCACCCACTTTTTTTTAACTTGTACTCAATATTTAAACAACTTCAGCCCTTCGGATAAGAGTGATTTTATATGGTATTTGTGAACATATTTTAAGGTAGTTTATGATGTTTTACAATGGTGAGTTATTGTGGCGTTTTATTTTTAACTATTGTTTAGGATTTCTTTTTTTTTTCTTAATTGCAAAATGGGTTCGTTAGATTTATTGTTGTTTTGATAAATTGATGATTGGGATTTGTTCTTGATGATATTTGGAGGTTATGTTTCAATTTTGTGCTCATTTAGAGTAGATTTATGTATTAAATCGTATATTGGATTGTTAAAATTCGAAGAACAAATTTCTGTTTCTGGGCAATTTGCACTTCAGGCCTATTTGGCCTTAAGTGCATCAAAACGTTAGTTCACTTACAGAACTTTTGGCCTTAAGTGCATCTGAAGTGCAATTTTTTACTTCAAACTTATTAGCCTTAAGTGTAAGAAAACGTTTGTTGCACTTCATACCATTTGGCCTTAAGTGTATGACACCATTGATTGCACTTCAGACCTATTTGGACTTAAGTGCATCTAAAGCGCAATTTTTCACTTCAGACTTATTGGCCTTAAGTGTAAGAAAATGTTTGTTGCACTTCAGGCCTTTTGGCCTTAAGTGCATCTGAAGTGCAATTTTTCACTTCACACTTATTGACCTTAAGTGTAGGAAAACGTTTGTTGCACTTTCAGACCTTTTGGCCTTAAGTGCAACTGAAGTGCAATTTTTTACTTCACACTTATTGGCCTTAAGTGCATGAAATCATTGGTTACGCTTCAAACCTATTTGGCTTTAAGTACATCTAAAGTGTAATTTTTTACTTCAGACTAATTTTTTTTTTAATTTAAGACCCGATAAGTTTGAAGTGGATCGTAAAGTGAGTAGTCTTGCAAATTTCTTTGCAAAGTGAGTATAGATTCAATTGTGACCCCAAAACTGGATATACATGCAAAAGCCCCAAAAAAGGCTTTTAGTGAATAAGCTAATCTTACCAAACAACTAGTAGCTTAAGTATCATATCAGCATATGCTCGTATTTACATGTGTTGTACAGTTCTTAAATTATCAAATAAGTTGACGAAGTAACTTAGCTCGGAGAAAATGGTTCAACATAATCCTTTACAATTTGAATAGAAGAAAATTGTCCTACAAAGACCTCTTGTAGATTTGTTTATACTAGTCTCAAAGTACGCGCAATGCGTATGTATCTCATTTCGATGAGTACTAATTTATTTAAAAAATTATGCTTGGGTTATAAAATAAAAACGTAAGTTCCTTAGCATGATCATGAATATTGATAGTATATAACTAATTCAGTCAAAAAAGAAATTATCTCATAAAAATCCTCAATCATTAGTCAATAATTCAACTTAGAACTTGTTCCAATTTTATAATGTCATAATTTCAAATTCACTAAGTTATCGTGCTTTCTTTTTAGTTTGAACAAGAACACTTAACCCTTGAAAACCTATATAGTACTGAATATGATAGTATTTAAAATATGTCAGTGTGCAACTAACAATTTGCGAATATCGAATGAATACAAAATAAAAGTGCAATAAAAATCAGAAAAACACTCAAAAAGGATACTAAAGCAAGCTAGTGAAGGAAGGGGTTCGAATATAATATAAAAATCTATTACAGTGCATATATAAAGTTCAAAGTTAGCATGAAGGGGCTTTATATGACTATTATACACTCTTCAAATAAGAACATAATTTACAGAAGGTTAAATTTTAATTAATATTAAAATTCTAAATATAAGGACTTACAAAGACGAAGAACTTAATAAATAAAATTTCAGTTAATCTCAAGATATTATGGAATAAATATAAGAAAAATAATATTAAAGAATTATAGTTATTTTGTGATGAAAATTTTATGCTCAAAGAATCCTTTTTTACATGTCTTCTTCTTGACAAGTAAAAGCTAACGTTTAGCCTTAAAATTTTTCTAATTTTAGTACCAGTTATACATATGTTACCTACTTCAATTAGGAAAGAATTTATGTAAGGTAAATCTGATTTTAAATTTCTAAATATTAAGAATCTATAAAAATAATTAAGACACAGAAGATTTAATAACCAAATTTTAGTTGATTTTAATATCCTAAATATTAGAAAATTAATTTACAATTTTGTCCAATGTAAAATTTATTTTAAAGGGTAAAAAGGGTGAACGATATTTCGCTAAGGGCCATTGTGCTTTTAATATAGTATAGATATAGATGTAAAAATAAATAGATGTGAGAAGAGCTTCGAAGAGTTAAAGGAAAGGCTACCTCAACGCTAGTCTTATCTCTTGCTGAAGGACCCAAGGGGTATGTTATATATTGTTATGGGCCTGGCCAGTGTTCTAATGCAACATGTGAAAGTTATTGCTTACGCTTCGAGTCAACTAAGGAAACACGAGTAGAATTACCCAATGCATGACTTGGAGCTAGCATCTGTTATATTTGCCTTGAAAATATGGCGTCGCTATCTGTGTGGAGTTCATATTAACATATTCACTGATCACAAGAGCTTACAGCATATATTCAAGCAAAAAGAATTAATTCTGAGGCAACAGAGATGACTTGAATTGTTAAAGGATTACGATGTTGATATTTTGTACCACTCTGGGAAGGTCAACGTTGTAGCTAATGCATTAAGTCGAAAATCTATGGACAATCTATGGCATGTGGAAATGCATTAGTTGGAGATGACTAAAGACTTGTACCGGTTGGCTAACTTAAGTGTATGATTACTAGATACCGGTAGCGGAGGAGCCATACTTCGAAATGCTGCCGAATCCTCGCTAGTAGCCGAAGTAAAGGCACGACAATTTGATGATCCAGCCTTGATGAAGATAAGAGAAGGCATTCCCTTTCAAAAGAAGCAAGTGTTCGAGCTATCCGAGGACGGAGTCCTTAGATACTAGGACCGGTTATGTGTGCCCGATGTCGGAGGACTCCGAGAGCAGATCATGGCAGAGATTCATCAGTCCCGATATTCTGTTCATTCGGAGTCAACCAAGATGTATCAGGATCTTCGACAATTATATACTGGTAGAACGACATGAAAGGAACATTGCTGAATATGTCGCTCAGTGTACAAATTTCCAACAAGTTAAGGTTGAATGCCAGAAACCAAGAGGATTGCCTCAGAAGATGAAAGTTCCGACCTAGAAATGGGAGGTGATCAACATGGATTTTGTTACCGGATTACCACGATCATGCCAAAGATTTGATTCCATATGGGTCATCGTGGATCAAATCACCAAGTTAGCTCATCTCCTACCAGTTAAGACTACCTTCTCAGCTGAAGATTATGCTAAGCTATATATTAAGGAGATAGTTCGACTCCATAAGGTTCCGATTTCCATCATATCAGACAGAGGTGCCCAGTTTACGACTAAATTCTGGAGATCATTTCAGAAAGGATTGGGCATCAGGATCAACTTTAGCATGGCTTTCCATCCACAAACAGACAGTCAAGTCGAACACACCATTTAGACGCTCGAGGATATGTTACGACCTTGTATGTTAGACTTCAATGGAAGTTTTGGAAGATCATCTACCGCTCATCGAATTTGCATACAACAACAACTACCATGCTAGTATTCGGATGACCATATATGAAGCACTGTATGGACTGAAGTGCAGATCTCCTATCGGCTGGTTTGAAGTTAATGAAACAAAGTTATTATGTCCTGATTTGGTGCAACATGCTATAGAAAGGGTGAAAACAGTTCAAAATCAACTATTGACCGCTCAAAGAAGGAAAAAATCTTACTCAGAAAATCGACTACGAGATTTGGAGTTTACTGTGGAAGACTGGGTATTCATAAGGGTATATCTTATGAAAGGAATAATGAGGTTCGGTAAGAAGGGCAAACTCCGTCCCTGGTATATCAGACCGTATCAAATCCTTCAAAGAATCGGTCAAGTATCTTGTAAGCTTGACCTGCCCCCGGAATTGGAAGCAGTGCGTCCGGTATTCCATGTGTCAATACTTCTGAAGTGCTTAAGTGATCCATCCCGTACTACCCCTATTGAAGATATTCAAGTTACGGAGGACTTATCATATGAAGAAATTTTGGTGGCTATCCTGGATTGTCAAGTGCGTAAGTTGCGAACCAATGAGGTAGCTTCAGTTAAAGTATTTTGGAGGAATAATAATAAAGAAGAAATGACATGGGAAGCTCAAGAAGACATGAAATCCAAGTACCACCATTTATTCCACACTACGGGAGGCAACAATGATACTACCATGGCGGGCACAACCCAAAAGGACTAAAGAAGTTTGCAAGGAGTGACTATGATTTAACATTCGAGAAGGAATGTTTCAAAGAGGGGGATGATGTTATACCCCACACTATTCCCCCACATATGAAGTTGAAAGATTTATGAGGTTTAAGTATGACCAACTATATAGGGGCACGCTATCGAGTAGAAGGGGAGACTGCATGTGACCAGATTATGGTAGTTGTCCCACCGGGTGCTGCAACTGGGGTGGGGGTGACCTATTTTGCATGTACAAGCGGCGGAATTTCCTAGGCTTAGTATAGTATAAAAAGCCAGTGGATATCTTCTCCCTCTCATTCTAAAATATATTACCCAATTTAGTTTATCCCCAATACTCTCAAACCCCCTTTAGAATTTCCCAAACGGTTTAAGGCTAAATCGAAGGTGAATCTAGAAGGATTAGGGTGGAGGAGCTTTAATCATCATTGTAAAGTCTATCATCTTGTCGTATTGATTCTGAAAATTTGTTGGAGGCAGAATTAATCATCATAGAAGTGTAGCTAGTTCTTCAACAAGGTATATAGGACATCTTTCTTTCTTGGCATGACTTGGTATGAGCGTCTCTCTTTCCTTCAAGGATTTCTATGTTGTGAGATTGGTTAGTTTTAAGGTCTCCTCAATAGTGTTCTTTCCCTTCTTGTGCATTGTTCTTACCGGTGGCATTCCTTCAAGTTTGAGGTGTCCTCAGATAGTACCTTGAGCTCGAAAAATATATTATGAATCCTGCTGAATTTAATCTTGATATTTCCTTGACACTAACCTTGCATTGCACTTATATATATGTATCTATTTTACTTTATTGAGTCACACTATAGTCAGCCGGGTACGACACCTATTGTGCAACCACTGATGAGTTGTGTATGATGAGCTATGATATGAGATATTACCGAGACATTGTGTGGCCGAGTACGATGATGTGTGATGTGAGGTTACCGAGTCCTCTTGAGGCCAACTACATCGAGTCCTATTGAGGTCGTATACGGTCGAGACCTCCTGTGGCCGGATCTAGAGTGATGTGTGATGTGAGGCTACTGAGTCCTCTTGAGGCCGATTAGGTCGTGTTCTGCTAAGACCGGGTACAACCGAGACCTTCTGAGGCGGGATACGATCGAGTCCTCTACGAGGCTGGGTATGAAGTAAAACGTGATGACATAACCCAAAGATTTTAT